AGGAAGTCTGATGGGCGCAGTTATGCCGACGGAGGGGGGGGGCATTTTGCACTTTCGTTGCTTCACTAGTTCTGGTTTACAAGTCTCACTCTGGTGAAACCTGTGAACTCTTGTGAAGCTGGAGCAAGCTCGTCAAGCCATCATGGTAAAACCTGTCAACTCGAGAAGAGGCTGTCTAGATGGGTCGACACGTCGATGGGAAGTCGTTAAAGTGCCCCCCCCCCCCTCCCACAAACAGCGCTAGTCTGATTAATTTGAACAACATCATTAGAAGCAACAACATCATGAGAACAAGGGCGATGTATAGCTTACTTCCAGAAGGAAGAAGCCGACATCATAGAATGTAAGAACGACAACGTCCGAAATAAGGTACTCAAACACTCATTTCCACCCGAAACAGAAACTCAATAAGCTGACGCCTCTCACCAATCTCTACAAAACCCATTCACGATCGTTGAGGCATTTGAATGTGTATTTCGCCAAGGCAATAGGCATCCAGGAGCAGTGCCAGTTCATTCGGGTACTTACAACTCCGTAGTTAACCTTCTATAGGACCAGGTTGAGCGAGCCAGATTCTGCTCCTACGCGCTGTGCAAAAAATGAAACTCCAAAGAGCACAGATAAGACATTTATTCAAAAAGAATCCATACAACACGAGAACCGGGAGCGAATTAGCACGAAAAAAAGATGGCTGAGAGCCATTTCTTCGAATCACAGACTTGTTCACATGAAATCGTCCGAGAGATTTCCGTCGTCTTTCTCTTTCTGAGGTGGTGCATCCCAATCAACGTCTTCGTAGTGGCGTTGTCGACGTGCTGCTTCTCGTTCTTCAGCTTCCTTCATCTCCTTCGCCTACACCACATAACATGGCTCAGTTCAAGCTTCTAAAGTAGCACAGAGCAAAGTAGCCAACCTTCCTCTCCTGCTCAAGCTTTCGCTGTTGTCGACGTTCAGCTATGTCTCGTTGCTCACGCTCTTCCCTGCAAACATTTAATTGAATAAAGTTAACGAGACCATTTTTGACAGACTGGCAAACAGCACAATTACATTGCAAATTGCATAATTAGTTTCTCAGATTGAATAAGCTATCAGGAATTGGACTAAATGCTTGCCTGTAGTCAATATCCTCCTTTTTCTCAGTCTTGTTAAGCCGGTTAACGATGTCATTGCAACGTTTAGCTACCACACAGCGTTTTACCTTCTTATGATCATGGAATCCAATCTGAAATCGCCACATATAATCGACATGCGAAAACATATCTATGGGTGCGGCAGCTACAGAAACAAGGGGAAAAAGCTTTCGCCGTTAATCGGTGGCACGCATTCTGCTTCCATAAAGAA